TCCGTTACTGCGGTCGATCAATACCTGTCCGTATCCAAACACACAAACAGTTGTTGTGGTGGCCGAACCTCATGGCAGCGATCCACATCATTGGGGTCCAGCTGCTTCCTAACCTGGCGAGCCGCAAGTCGGCGAACATTGACAAGGGATATTTTTGAGGAGGTGGCGCGAGAATGTAAACGGGCATCCAGACCGTATTGAAGCACATGTGAGCGACGAGTGGAGGTAANGGAGGTGGCGCGAGAATGTAAACGGGCATCCAGACCGTATTGAAGCACATGTGAGCGACGAGTGGAGGTAACGTTGCTACTGCAGTACCCGCTGTTGCCTTGTGTTTTTTCGATGGAAGAAGTCAGCCTGTTCGGGGTCTCTTCAACTGTGCTTGTGACATGAACCGTTTGGGTGATGAGGTGATTGTGTCCTTGGTAGCGAGTGCAGATGTGGTCTTACACAGCCGCATGTTCCTATTATTCTTGTTCAGGGGCGCGCCCTGTGTTGCTTGTTGCTATTTCTAGCACCCTAGGGACATGATGTGGCGATTCACCAAGGAACGCCTGGCTTCGTCGAGTGCCTATTGGCGAAAAGGCGCCTTTTGGGACAGGACTTGCTTCACGAGTCCTCCCTTGCGCAGGTGACAGAATGGATGTTTGCAGGTTGTACTTCATTTCACCTGGCAGATTTGCCCTGAACACTACCAACCGAGGCCTAAAAGGTGCCATGGGCAACTTTGATTTTTTCCCACGCCTAGGCCAGGAGTCATCCCGCTGCATTTAATGTTTCCCGATTTCCGATCCATCGCTTTTTCCTCAACGCTGCAAGACGCACTTCTGGAAAAGTATAGGGAAGGGGGTGCTTATCCCTATTGATACTTTCGCTGGAAGTGGAGGATACTCATGCTTCTACTGTGTGACCTAGTACCGTGAAGAGAACACAAAACCAACTGTGCTGTTGATAGAACCAGCGGGAAGTAATTAAAGAATGCCTCAGGAGCTACCAGAAAAGTATGTTGTCGTTTCAACACACCCTCTCAGAAACCCCGCCCATTCGACCGGAAAAGTGGCAAACACGTTGAAATCTCCTCCCGGTGTTCTTAATCCGCAAAATTGAGAAACCACCCCACCACCCTCGGGGTATTCGTTGTCGGGATCAAAGATTACCCAGCCTCCAGGGATGAACGCAAAATAGCTACAGCCACGTCTTTCGGTATTCTACAGCTTGCCTCACGTCCGTCGCAGTAAAGAAATGATCTTTCGCATCATGGACGTACGTCGGAAGATACGCAATTAACGGAATACGCATGCTTCTTTGGCTCATCACCCCATCGGCCTACCCGTGACTTGCCCTTCCCTTCGTTACGTTCGGCCACAATTTTTGTGCAACATGCTGCACGCCAGGGCATGGCGCCCTCGTCGCCAGGCTCCGCCACTCTCACAGAGTATGGGAACCCCGAGATCATGCGCTTCCTCTCCACATTTGTGGACGGGAAGGGAAACCCTGACATCATGCGCTTCCTCTCCCCATTTGCGAACGGGAAGGGTAACCTCATCGTGAAGAGACCCTGCTCGAAGACGTGCACTTCGACGTTGCCGACCTCGAGCCTATTCGTCGACGACAAGAGGTGATGTCTGAGTGTTGTGAGCACTCATTCCTTCTTTATTATGAAGTTGAGCTTCCGCGCGGGGTCGCGAAGCTGTTGGGAACACTCTCGGGCGCGGTGCTTTGTGTGGCGGTTGACTATGTCCCAGCCGTATATTGCCTATGGTCAGAGTATTCGTCAGGTTCCAGCGCAATATCGCGATGCGGTGGTTTACTTCTGCGATTATATCCAACCGGTAGGCACGTGCGTAAGTTGGAACGGATATAGTTGATATTTCGTCCGGCAGGCGGGGAGGGCGCAACCACGCATTGCGTGTGGACGGGAAAGAACATCATACGGTACACGGTAATTTTTTGCCATTCGTGGAGCACATATATTGCAAAGATTGCCGGCTTGAGCGGGATGGAGAGTATTGCAACTGGTTGAGTGCCGTTTTTGAGAGGACAAGGGAGGCTTTATTTGTCTGTGATGTGCATCGTGTGTCTTGACCTGTTATTATTTTATCCTATGCTTAAAATGTCGAGTACTGTTGCAGCAAAAGCAAGACGTATCGGTAGTCAGTCGTGGATCAAAGCGGGTACAGAACGCGCCACCACAAAACCTTTTTTTTGGTCGATGCTTGTTCTTGTTTTGTCTACGGGGTACCCCCATAGCGACTGTATAGGTTTTAGTTTAGTTTTCCTTGAGCATCTGAGTTCTTAGATTTTGGATTTTTTACGCTCAAGTTCTAATTAAGTGGTGGCGCGTTCTGCCACGACACGAGACGTTGAACATGAATGCAACAAAAAACGTCCCGAGATCGCGATGGCACATGAAAAAAATAATAATGTACCAGTACAGACACCACTGAAATCGCTGCTGCAGTTTGCTTGCAGGGAGCTATTCGAGCCATTCGGTAGCCATTTGGCCACAGGTGTATTCGGTAGCCATTTGGCCACAGGTGTATGTATGCTCAGAGCTCATTTGCACCTGGCTTGATCACATTGTTGGGTTCGCGGCTTTTTGAAAGCAGGGATCTCCGGGGACGGATCCCTCGCCAGACGCTGATAGTTTTAGGTGCACTTTTTGTAAAGCAAAGTGATCCAGCC